AGGATCCAATTCTCAATCGATTGTCACCAGTTTCATCCCTTAATCTCTGCTGGGGGAGGAGAAATGGATTTTTCAATGGCGAGAGCCGTTTGGGGACTCACTCGATCCATAAATATTCGTTTCTCCCCCTCTAATTCAGATGAAGGGATAAAACAGATCGCAATCAGTTGAGGATTCAATTTTCAATCGATTGGTAACCGTTTCATCCCTTCGTCCTCATTAGGGAAGGAGAAATTGATTGTTATATTAAGGGCAGGATTCCGCCGCCCGTCAGCGTTTCGAACTGCGGTAGGTTTCCCTCACCTACTCGACAGCGAACATCACCGCTCGCTCCGCCCTCCGATTCCCCCATACGCGTTCCCCCCCACTCTGCGCCGTTATCGACGCTCTCACACGCTCCCTGTTTTACTTACAGGTACGTACTCAAAATTAGTTCTGCGCCACCGCTACGAAATTTTGCGGTTGAAGCGTTTCCATAGGCGCTAGCAATCTCCCTTATTGGAAACGCTAAATATCAAAACGCCACCTATGAATGGCGGATATTGGGCTGCACACAGACAGTATCAACCCAATTTGGGCTTGTGTCAGCGTGTATATGGGAAGCCTAAACTCGTTCATATTGGTGAAAACGAGCGCCGCCATCGGTAATTAGCGGTCCCAATAATCTCTGTTTACAATGTGGATCGCGAGAATACGAGAATATCTGTTACTATCCGCGCATTTTTTTTACTGTTCATCCAAAAAAGACAATAGTTACACCGTTTATATGAGGACACTTTTCCGATTTGTCGTCCCGTTCTTATTATACCAAATGAAAATCATTTAGAGGTAGTGGAGTGGGAAGGTCTATCGGGTATAGATACGCAGTGCGCTCGGCCTGAAATTTTGGACAATTGATGTCAAAACTTTTTCTTGGCCGATACGCTACCGCGTATCTCGATAGACTCATCGGAACGCGACGAGACCTCGCCCAAATGCTAACGCGCTTCCTACCACCGATAACTTTTTATCTATCATAGTTAGGAGAAAAAGTTACAGAATAAAAAATGTGTATTTTTACAGATCAAACATCTTTTGTTTGGCACTTTTTTCACTATCTATAACTATCCAACCGTTTCCGTAATATGATCTTATAAAAAATTAAATTGTTAATAACTTTTGTTTACATCGGTTCTCGTCGAAACGACCTTCAAATTCGAATTCTACGCTTCGGAAAACCTCGAAAAATATCAAGTCGACCAGTAACTCCAAAAATGTACACCAAATAGTAGCTAGCGAAGGAACTATTTATAATGTTTGATCCGATTACGAATACAAATTAAGTCTGGCGCCAACTGCCGAATACTCAGCAAGTCGACCATCCGACTTCTACGTTACATATTTACTTTTGTATTGTACTAAGACGCGTTTAGCAATAAACAACACTTATATTAATTACTGAGTAGTGGATTGATTCAAGCCTTTCCCAAGCACCTCGTTCCCTACGCGATGATATTTTCTAATGATGGGTCTCGTCAAAAAGATAAATGCCTAATTAACACGGGTGTTAGTTTTATCTCAAAAATTGCCACAAATATCTGCAAACATATTTAGTTTATCGAAAAATGTTATTGATTAATTGCTATTGCCCTTGGAATTTTCCTCACAAAATGTACTCTTATGAGTTTTTATCCATCCGTCCATTACTGAAATATCTGCAAAGTGACATTAAATAAGTGTAGTGTGTGTAGTGTAGTTTACTGTTCGAAGCATGATATTAATGAGGCTTTATGGTTTTTTAAATTAATAGCTTTTATTATTCCAGACTTAATTGCTGTATTGACACCCAAAGGACCCCTTAGGATCCTCGTAGAGACTGCTCAAGAGCGAAACGAACCGATATTCCCCGCTCTCATCTACTCATCGACCATTTTATACAGTTTCACTGTTACTTATGCTGGATATGTTGGAGCTGCAACGATGGCAAGTGGGGACACTGTTGAGGGAGAGGGTATGGCCTCACCAGCACGAGCACAGTTGCAAAATCAAAATACTGCCGGGGAGCAGGAGGAGAGTGGATTCACTACTGAATGGGTTGACAATCATGGTGAGTGAATAATTCTGCAGAAAAGCTTTTGTTTACTAAGTTCCGGTTTAAATTCCACTCAATTACCTACTGCATGGATTTCTTCTACTGCATTTTTTCTGACAAAAGACTGGGCTGTTTGCAGGGGAAAGAGGAGCGAGGAGGGCTCAACTGGTCTCTGACCCGGTAGACACAGCCAGGAGAAGCACTCAACAACCTCTAGGCCACAATCAGTCTCAAGCATCAGTTCCTGAGGAAGAACGTGGAGTCAAACTTGGACTTGGAGATTTCATTTTCTACAGTGTTCTGGTCGGAAAGGCGTCGAGTTATGGGGATTGGAATACAACTCTTGCCTGCTTTGTAGCTATTTTGATTGTAAGAATTAATTTTTATCATTCCATTATTAATTTTAATGGAAGAAATGAAGAAACAGAGTTAAATTGGAAATTATACCCCAAATCACGGTGCAAATATCTCGGTGACACGCGCATTCATATGAGGACAAGGTATCGCGGGTTATTTTTTGCTTCTGAATGGCAACTTTGTAATAGTCCAATTTTCACATTTTTCAATGTTGATTGGAAATAACGTAGAATGGTCTTATACGTAAAAATACGAAGTTTAACGACAATGTCTGTATCTGCACAAGTCACGTTACGTTTTAAAAATAGAGTAATTAAGTGGCTAGATGAGGTAAAAAAAATCCGATTATAGATCTTAATGGGAACTAATTCTGTGCACAATTTCAGCCCGATCGGTCCAATAGTTTTTTAGAAAAAGCGATTCGTTTTTAAATCGGTTTTCACAAATATCTTAAAAACTAGAGGACCGATTGAGATTTTTCTTTTTTTCAAAATATTTGTCTCAGTGTCCTCTACCTCTATTAATCAAAACATATTAGGTGTACAAATAAGTTTTAGGACACTTTGCAAAAAATTTAAAATTCATTTTCGAAAAAAAGGAAACTACATTTATTCATCAAAATAATCTCCATCATTTTGAATGACCGTCAGCCATCTGTTAGGTAATTCACGGATGCCTTCCGCAAAGAAAGTTTCATCTTGCGAGGCGAGGAAATTATCGACCCATTTTTGCACTTCAAAGGTTTTGAATTGCAGATCAGTCAATTCGTTTTGCATCTTCCGAAACAAGTGAAAACCAGTCGGAGCTAAGTCTGGGGAATACGCCGGGTGTGGCACAACTTCCCATCCAATAGCCATTAACGTATCTTTGACCAGTTTACCCACATGAGGCCTGGCGTTGTCATAGAGCAATTTTACTGACGTTTTCCTTTGCCAGTAAATGGACCTTTTTGTTCAATTCCTTGGTTCAATCTTATTAATTGTTGACTTCAAAAGTTCATAATGCAGTACGCCTTTCATATCCCACCATATACACAGCATGATCTTCTTACAGTGAATATTGCGTTTCGGTGTCGATGTCGTCGGCTCGCCGAGGTTAACCCAATGATATTTGCGTTTTGGATTATCAAAATAAATCCACTTTTCATCGCCGGTCACAATTTTCCGCAAAAAAGACTTTCTATGTTGCTTATTGTAAAGATTCAGACATATGTCAAGTCGGCTATCTTTATTTGCTTGAGTCAAAAAGCGTGGCTCCCACTTTGTTCCTTTTCGAATCTTTCCCATTACGTTTAAGCGATAGGAGACGGTCTGTTGAGTTACTCCAAGCTGTTTTGCAAGTTGTTTTTCCATCTGGCAAGTTTTCATCCAGCAACGCTTGCAGTTCCTGGTCATCCACCCTTACAGGGGCCCCAGTACGTTCACGGTCACTAACGTCGAAATCACCTTCTTTAAATCGCTTATACCAATACTCACATGTACTTTTAGATACAATGTTGTCCCCGAGAACAGAACAAATCGATTGACATGCTTTCCTAACAGTTTTTCCTTGATGGAATTCATAGCGAATGCAGTGTCTAATAAATAGCTTATCGGTCTGCATGTTTTATTCACAAAATTTAAGGTTATGTTTATGTTTTGATACTACATAACAAACCCCACCATATCATATGTAAGCGGTAACTTTGAATTACTTTCATGCCACGGAATCGAAGTGTCCTAATAGTATATTTCGCCATTAGGCCGAAAAAAACTTTTCTGGCGAATATGAGGTTTGCAGCACGAGCCGAAGGCGAGGGCAATCATCATAACAAAAAATACTGTTCGTCATACGGCCAAAAAAAACTTTTCTAGCTCATATGATTGCCGCTCTCGCCTTCGGCTCGAGCTGCAAACTCATATTCGTCATAAAAGATTTTTTCGGCCTATTGATGAAATATACTATTGTCATGACAGCCGTAGGCAGAGATTTACGGATGCGGAGCGTCCGTGAAACGCTGCCTTACGGCCGGAATGACAAAAAACTTATTTGTACACCTAATATACATATACCCGTTCATACAAAGTTTTCGAGATATACCTGCTTTTCTATTTTTCCATTGAAATCGTTGTATTTGCGTTCTAACTCGTACAAAAATTGAGATATTATCAACTTGAAATTTGGCCAGAATCTTCCTCTCATGATGGCAAAGATACGTATTGAAGATGGGCTCAACCGCATTAGTAGTTTTAGAGATATTCAACTTTTTATGAAAGTCTATTATATAGAATGTATTTAAAATTACGCAACAGGTATACATTTTTTAAATATTCATCTCGATGTCCTTTACCACAATCACGAAATTTGGATCAATTTATCCAATATTTAATCAGGTTGAAATTTTGGCATGATAACTATGACTGACTTTAACTTTGGTATTTTGTTTCAGTCAGATCAGTCAAGTAGTTCATGAGATATAACCACTTGTTTTTTTATTTAATGCTCGTCTAGCTGTCTCCTACCTCGATCAATCAAAACATGTATACCCATTTATATGGAGTATTCGAGATATTGGAATTTTTATTGCACCCGTGAAGATGACAGTAAACATGTAAAATTTTAGCTAGTTAATATTGTCGAGTTGAAAAGTTTTGTAATGTTTCAGACCATTCGGAAGCCCGCCATTAACGTATTAATGGTGAAAAAAAAATAAAACATCACTCAGTGCCATGCTCATTGTCATATGCTCACTGTCTTTTGCTTATTTTCTAGATGATTTTGTAAACTACAAAAAATAGCTGTGGACTTTTTTCGATAAGACTAATGGTTTTAGAGATGTATGTTCTGAAACTTTTTTTTTTGCAGGGATTATGTCTCACACTTCTCCTCCTCGCGATATTCAAGAAAGCACTTCCTGCGTTACCAATATCCATTACCTTCGGATTGATATTCTACTTCGCAACCCGAGTAATTGTTGCTCCATTCGCCGACAGTTTGGCCAGTGAACAAGTATTTATTTAATCTTAAGTTTTCATAAAATCAAAAGACTTGTTGGTAATTTATTTCGAATGATATTTGATCATTCATTCCATTTCATTATTTCACTCCCCTTTGTCCAGTTATTGGCTCATTAATTGATTCAATTCAATGACGATTAGTCATTTGTACAAAGCCAATTAGAGAGAATAGTGCGAGATAATTATTCTTTTTTAACGAATGTAAAATAGTTGTAGCACCTTATCAATGATATAATCAATTCATTAATAATAACTTTGAATTGAATTTATTCATATAATAATTGATAATTAATAAATGGGAATTTTATGATAATAGCGTGATATATTTTCGATCATATGTACAGAACAGATCTCCTTTTTATTTATACCTTTTACGTAGAAAAAATTGTTCGAGGAACATGAGGTAATGTATGTCGAATAACTGTCATTCCATTCCTACTCACAATTATTCATTACTCATTAAGATGATTAGGAACCACTAGACACCAGGGGGTAGTTTTAAGTTCGTTTTGCACAGCCATGGGACTAATTATACAGCGAAATGGTGAATAACACGGATTATGTCATCAACATCTCGGAAACGAGTAATTTTAGAGGCGAATCCGTGGGCAAGGTAATTTAAAAAAATGTATCTAGCCTTTTTTTTCGTAAAGGCGATCATTATCGAAATAATTGTAAAGTTAACATAAGTTCTTAATTTCAACTAAATCATTTCTTCAGAGCGTTTTTCACAAATATTTCCGACTAGTGGCCTTTTTAAAGAAAATATAAAGAAACATTCATTTTTGTAAGTATTTTGATTATCTACAAAAAAAAACCTCTTGATCTTTTTCAATAAATCCACTAGTGTCTGAAATATTTACGGAAGTCAGGGAATCCATTTGTTCTTCACAACTTCGCTATTGAAATATGTGATGATTTTCACAGTTTCTTAATTAAATACAACTTTTTATTCATCCTTACTGATGATCATTTCTTCATTAATAAATCTGCGTTGAATAAATCTCATTCAACACAAAACAAATAACAGTATTAGTTAAATATAATTTATTTATGTGCGATAATTTGTTCTTCAACATTCATGAGCTAATTCGCTTGATTTCATCACTTGAGGCCCATGTTGAGGATTGTTAATCATTAATTAAGTGTACGGTAACATTACTATAATTTCAGTGAACGAAAATAATTCAATAGACTTCAGATAGATCATTTTCTGCGCTGAACACAGATTTTTTTCAGATTATGTTGAAAAAGCATTTAAGTTGAAATTCTTCTTCTGTTAATTACGCAATTATCCCTATAATTCTGGGAATTGCGTCATAATGTCAATATATCACATTTTTTTGTAGGAAATTCAATTCTCTATAAAAATGTCTGCTGCCCTTATCGAGATATTTTCGTAATTAACAAAAATTATATTCTAGACAGATTTAGAATTTTCAATTTGCTAATTATTTAATTACTTCAGCAATGAGTGGATTTAGGGGCACGTGTCTCTTGACATTTTCTGCGACAACCTGTACTGCTTAATTACAGTATTAATAAAATTCCCATTTTACTGCTCATTATTCAATTAATCAATTAAATAATTGATCAAATTTCCAGATACATTCAAGTTCAATTTTCCCTGCCTAGCTCAAAGTCGTCATCACGAGGGCCCTCAGTCGGTACCTAGTCCAAAACTAGAATTTGAAATTCTCCCTCACCCGTTAGAAATTTCAAAAATTACTCTCTCCAAAATTTAATAATGCAACTTATTCTATAAATTCATCTATAACTCGATCATTTTTTTTTATCTATCGCTTTTTTGAAATTCTTAGTGCGTATTTTAGTTGAATACTGATATTTGTCGAAGCGATTATGCAAGATATTTAATGAGGCCACTTTAATGTCATTTATGCTCACCTACCTACCCCCCCCCCCCCCCCCC